ATCCTATCCTGCAAGAACTAAGCTTTCATATATGAAGGAGAATAAAGACATTCTCAGACAAGCAAAGTCTCAGAGATATTCACCAAGACAAGACCAGCCCTACAAGAAGTACTCAAAACAGTGTTACGCACGAACACCATAATAATACAACAACTCATGAATATAAAACAAAAACCAAAAGATTAAAGGCCAGATAACTACAAGGCTCAAGAGAGAAATCAAAGCAACAACATCCAACCAACAGAAAACAGTAAACTTACCTATCAGTTCTCCAATAAATGTCAATGGCTTTAAACTCTCCACTCAAGAGACATTAGGCTGGCTGAATGGATAAGAAAATACAGGCCAAGTATATGCGTATCTTCAGGAGAACACATCTAACCTGCATAGGATGCATATAGACTAAAAGTAAAAGGGTAGGTATCAGTATTCCAGGGCAAGTGAAGCCCAAAGAGAGGCTGGTGTGGCAGTTCTAATTTCAGACGATTTAGTTTTAAACCAACAAAAGTAGTGAAAGACAAAGAGGTCTTATATAAATGGTGAAGGGCACACTGTCAACAAGAACAAGAGAACAATTTTAAAATATGTAAAACCCAACTTAGGTGTACCAGTCTCATAAAGCAAACCTTTACTGGATCTATAGCAAATGGATTAATAGGCAACTCCATAATCACCGGAGATTTCAACACCCACTGACGGCACAAGACAGATCCTCCAAACAGAAAATTAATAAAGAAATAATGGACTAAAACAAAACCTTGGAACAACTGGGTCTGACTGACATCTACAGGACATTCTATCCAAAATCCACTGAATATACGTTCTTCTCATCAGCTCACGGGACATTCTCTAAGATTGACCATATCCTAGGACACAAAGTAAATCTCAAGAAATTAAAAAAAATAGAAATCATACCATGTACCTTCTCAGATCACAGTGGAATAAAGTAGAAATCAACCCTAACAGAAACTCACATTCTACACAAAAACGTGGAAATTAAACAACCTACTAAACATTACTTCATAAATGAAGAAATCAAGATGGAAATAAAAAATTCTATTACTCCTACACTGCTGGTGGACTGCAAATTAGTTCAACCTGCTGTGAAAGCAATGTGGAGATTCCTTAAAGCGATAAAGTGAATCTACCATTTGATCCAGCAATCCCATTGCTGGGCATCTACCCAAAAGATCCAATGACACTCTACAAAAAAGACACCTGCACTCGAATGTTTATAGCAGCACAATTCATAATTGCAAGGCTGTGGAAACAGCCCAAGTGCCCATCAATCCAAGAATGGATTAATAAAATGTGGTATATGTATACCATGGAGTACTATTCAGCTCTAAGAAACAATGGTTATATAGCACATCTTATATTTTCCTGGTTAGAGCTGGAACCCATACTATTAAGTGAAGTTTCCCAAGAATGGAAAAACAAGCACCACATATACTCACCAGAATTGGTATTAGTATTAACTGAACAGCACCTAAGTGGTCACATAGGTACTGCAGTAATAGGGTATTGGGCAGGGGGTAGGGGGGCGGGTATATACATATATAATGAATGAGATGTGCACCATCTGGGGGATGGTCATGCTGGAGACTCAGACCCCTGGGGGGAGAGGGGGAGAAATGGGCATTTATTGAAACCTTAAAATCTGTACCCCCTATAATATGCCAAAATAAAAAAAAAAAAAAGAAGAAGATCTACAGATAGCAAATAGCATATGAAAAGATGCTCAACATCATTTGTCATCAGGGAATTTCAAGTTAAAATAAACTAACAAAACAACAAGATGCCACTATATACCAAGTAGAATGGCTGAAATTTGTTAAAAACTGACAATACCAAATGCTGATGAGGATGCAGAGCAAAAGCAATTCTCAAATTAATTGATAGTGAGAATGTGAAATGGTATAGCCATTTTATTAATTTTTTCAAAGACAAGGTCTCACTCTATCACCCAGGCTAGAGTGCAGGGGCCTCATGATAGCTCACTGCAGCCCTGAACTCCTCTTCATCGCTTAAGCAATCCTCCTACCTCAGCCTTCCAATTAGCTGGGACTATAGGCACAAGCCACCATGTCTGGCACAGCCACTTTAGAACACAGCTTGGTAGTTTCTTATAAAACTAAACACAATCTTACCACATGATTCAACAATCATACTCTTAGGTATTTACCTAATTGATTTAAAGACTTATGTCCATACAAAACCTGCACCTTTACAGCAGTTTTATTCATAATCAACAAAAACTGGAAGCAACCAAATGTACTTCAATAGGGATGGATAAACAAACTGTGGTACATCTACACAATAGAGTATTATTCAGCAGTAAAAAGAAATGAGTTGTCAAGCCACAAAAAGACATGGAGGAATGTTAAATGCATATTGCTAAGTGAAAGAACCCAATCTGAAAAGACTCCTTACTGTATGATTCCAATTATATGACATTCTAGAAAAGGCAAAACTATAGGGATGGTAAAATGATCAGTGCATGCCAAGAGTTTAGGAGTAGCGGGGATGAATACACAGGTGAAGGACAGGGGATTTTTAGGAATTAAAACTATTCTGTATGATGTTGTGATACTATAATAGTAGATACATGACATTATTCATTTATCAAAACCCATAGAATTTTACAGCACCAAGAGTGAACTTTAAGATATGCAATGTAAAGAAATCATTTGGGAGGTAGGAGAATCCAGGAAAGAATACAGACTGTGATAAAACAATCTAATCATATTATGAATGTATGAAACAACCTCACTGAAGGAGATGAGAGAAAAAGCTACTAACCTAAGTAACTTTAGAAATGAGTGCAGCCTATAAAACTAAAGGGAAAGGAACTGCACAGAAGCACTGTATGCTAATTGATAAAGTTCTTTTCCATGGGGGTACAGGTTAACAATTCTGATACTGCTACATATGTATTGAACAATAAGGAAAAGGACAGCAGATGGTGGGAGTCAGGTTTCTCACTTGGAGTGAGTTATTTACAAACAAGCACAGGGAGGAGGATAGAATGATCTACTTGGTAATGGATTGGTTCAAGACATCAGTATAAACTCATGTTTAATTTAACATAGCTACAGATGGTTAAATATAGAAATATTTATAGATATGCACAAGGGTTAGTATTCACACATCTATTTCTTTGTTCTCTCAGCTGAGGAGTTATGCTCCCCTTCCTTGAGGCAGGGCATTTACATGAGACAAGACAGACAAGACAGGCAGGGAAGCAGCCAGGATAGCACCGCAACAGAAGCAAATACTAGAGGGCCGAGGAGTCCAGAATGACCCCTGCCTATCCAGCAATGGTGCTGACACTCTAAAAACAGAAGAAAGAAGCCACCAAAAATAGCCCACTGGCCTGAAGCTAAAGCACAACCCAACTGAGGTATAAATTAAGGCATTGTTAAGCCCACTTTTCTAAATTGACATTTGGCTTCTTTACTTCTCCCATCCTGGTGTGTTCTGAAAACACCTGTGCGGATTTAACCCCTGGTAGGCTCCTTAAATCCCCATGGATGAAAGCGTGTAGGCATGTTGAGAGGGAACCAGCGTGCTAAGGGAGGTATAAAGCATCGTTACTTAAGCCCCAAGCATGTTGGAAGTGGGTGACTATGTGTGGTGTGTGGTCACTGGACCCACTGCTGAACAGGTCACAGGGACTGATCCCTTCACAGGTCAGAAAAGATACCTTCTGGATGGGATGGAGAACACTGCTTCAGTGATTCCTCTGATTCCAGAGGTGACCCCCTGAGCCAGGACCCTGTGCCAGGGGTGGTGGAGGTAAACAGAAAGGTGGGATGCAAAAGACCAGGTTGGTCTCCCATGGGACACAGGCAATTAAAGAAGCACAGAGCAAGAAGATGTAAACAGTTTGGGACCAGGGGCCATACACTTGGTTTTTGAACCAACTCTGCCACTACTGGTTATAGGGCTTTGAAAGTCACTTAAACTGAGCCTCAGCTTCCTCACCTTTATAAACATGACACTGGACTTCTTCACATGGCGGTCAGGGGAACTAAATGAAATGATGTACGTGTATGTACCTAGCAATGGGCAAGGGCTAGAAGGGTGGGGAACCTGCAGCCTTGGGGCCACATGTGGCCTTCTGGATCCTTGAGTGCAGCCTTTTGATGGAATCCAAATTTTACAGAATAAATCCTTTTAATACAGGGATTTGCTCTGTGAAGTTTGGATTCAGTCGATGGGCCGCATTTGGTGATCCGGAGAGACCCATGTGACAATCTCTGAGGCCACAGGTTCCCCACCCCTACCAAGGTTCTCAATGTGTGGTCCAAGGCCACCTGGGGGTCCCTGAGACCCTTGGGACGGTAAGCTCCGTCCTCCCTTTCCCAACTAGTGTGTGCAAGAGCCCAGAATTTCTTTCAAATACTTTCTCCAAAGCAGCTGATGTGAGACTCCAGTTAACCGTTATCAAACAAGGAAATTTCCAAAAATTTAAAACCAGGCCACTCTTCTCACCTCCGTTTTTTCCCTAGAGAATATGGTTATTTTTCGTTAAAAATGTCATTTGTGTTCCAATTCTAATGGATTTGTTATTTTTAAATGAGTAAATAGTTTTAATATTTGTTTTAATTCCTAATACCATAAAAATAGATATAAGCAAAACCTTTTTGGGGTCCTCAATAATTCCTAAGCGTGTAAAGGGGTGCTGACACCACACTGTTTGGGACGCGCTGTGCTGAGCGAACGAGTGGGAGGCGAGCCGCCTCTCAGGGGCGGGCAACGCGGTGGGGCGTGTGTACCCATTTTCCGGGTGGAGCAAGCGCCCTCCCACAGGGAGGCGCCGGCCGCGGGCGACCTTGGAAAGCGGTCGAGCCGGCGCGCGGAAGGCGCACGGTGCTCCAGGCCGGCCCGGTTCTCGCGAGGTCTCGGGGACGCCGCGCCCGACCCGCGAGGCTACTCCAGGCGCCGACCCGCCGCGAGCCGGGCCAGGCCGGCGGGGAATGGGGACCTGCACTCACGGCCTCAGCAGCGCGGCCGCCGCCGCCGCTCCGCGCGCCGCCCTCCTCAGCATACGTAGCGCCATCTTCCCGCCGCGCGCGCCCCGCCCCGTCCGGTTAGCCACGCCCACCCCGCTTTGCCACGCCCCCACGTGGCCCTGCCTCGCCCCGCCCTCCCTGCTTGGAGCGCCGGCCCCGCCCCACGCGAGTCCGCCCTGGCCGAGTCTTCCAGGCCCAGGTCACCCGCCCCAGCCGCCCAGCGCTGTCTGCGCGCCCAGGACACTCCAGCCTGCTGTCATGCGGGGCAGAGCAGAGGATCCGAATGGTTAGCTCCTCTCTGAGCGGTTTCTCTGGTGACCGAATCCAGCTCTCCCTGAGCTCCTGAGTTTGTTTAGGCTGCTGTTGAGAGACTGCGTTTTTCCCAGCCAGAGAGGCCAAATCTTCTAGGGATTTTTCTATGCTGTTTTTTTGCTGTCAGAATACCTCCTAACAAAGTTTGTGAGCCTCAACGTGTGCATATCTTGGTTAACAATAATTCGTCTAGGAGTGATCCAAGAAAATGAAGGAAGAGTCCATTCTGGAACAAATATGCCTGGAACAGATCAGAACAGCTGTCCGCCCTTTTCTGGGCAGAGAAAGTCTTGCTGAAGAGACTGGCAGCGAGGCAGCTGTTTTCCCTCCTGCGGTCGGTCCACAGTGGTGAGAACGCCAAGGGATTGAAGCAGGGGCCGGGCCCTGCCTGGAGGAACATCACCTGCCTTTGCTTCTCCTCCCTCCGTGATCCAACCCTGCCTCCACCTACCGCCCGGTACCTTACCCAGGCTACTCCTAACCATGTCTTCTCCTTCCTGCTCTGTCTGCATTTTTCTTTTTCACCTGTGACTTGTTCAGTTCATGCTCTGAATTTACACCTGAGAACATTTCTCAGAACCTTCTGGTGGAAGCTGAATTGTGCTTTTGTTTGCAAGGAGTGACAGTTTAAACAAAGAAAAACCTGTTCAGCCAGAGTGGGTTCCAAGATCTTTGGAAAAGTGCAGATGACTGAGAACATGGATGCTGAACTTTTGCTGGACAGAAGTGTTATTGTTATATCTGATGCCAACAGGAGCATTCGGAGTCCTTTGAACCGAAGGAGATTGGAATGACCTCAGAAGCCAAGTCTTTCTGAACTTTTGCCCTCCTCTTTCCTGCTCTTCTTTCTCCCTCTGAAGTGATTCATAGAAACCAGAATTCCTCTTCCCCAAAGCAAGCCATCTTCTTTCTCCCTTCTCTCTTGAAGACACTCATTTCAGAGGGGTCCTGCCCCATACCCAGGAGGAAGGAATGTTACACAGAGAGGCTAAGAAGAATCTGGACAGTCCTTGCTGGGTTTCTCACCATTAGATCATACCTGTTTGTTCAATCACATTTCTACACAGTTGTCTATCCTTCATCAAACCTAACCATTAAAACAGATAGTTTTCCCTGGGTCTTTGGGTCTTCAATTTTGAAGCCTCCCCTGTCATGTAAAACTTTGATTAAACAATAAATTTGTTACCCTTTTCTCTTGTTAACCTGTCTTTTGTTATAGGAGTGTCAGCCTGTGACCCTTATGATGGGTGAGCAAGTGTATTCCACCTTTCCGCCCCTACAGGTACACAGAGTGGGAGTGGGGTTTATCACATGTTCCTCTACTTTGTGTATGTTGGAAAATATTCTTAATAAAAAGTTAAAGACAAAGGTCAGTTCAACTAATGCTTTGCATAGAAAGAACCAGAAGATGAATTTACCTATAGTTGATGGAGGTTAAGCCTCATGGGCCTGTTACTTGTACAGACCCCTTCCGAGTCCCCAGCAAAGTGTTCACAAGGCCATTTGTTTGGCAAAATGTACAAAAGTAATATACAACTATGACATACCAATGAAAAATACAAAAAATGTACAAAAGTAAGCTATTTTTAACTATAATTGGTTAAGATGCTTTCTCTGTCTACTCTGGCTTTCCCTCTCTGGGACTTTTATTGTGTTGAGTGGTGTTGTAATGGCTGCAGGCATTTTTGGGGTCCAGCTAAAGGGAAGTTGAATGGGGTATCTCTGGTTTAGATTTTGTAGAATTTGTTTATGTTATTTGCAACCACTTCCAAGTCCTGGTTTAGGAATGGCTTCCAGGAATATGCCTGCTACCCACTGTGTTGACTCATCTGCCTAAAAGTGCAAGATCTATGGGCATAGCCCAATAAGAATGTGCCCCTAGGGGGCACATTCTTCTTGCACCAGAAGCCATGAAGTGGGGGAGAAACAAAGTTTGAAAAGTATGGAGTCAGAGACCATCTGTAGAAAACCCTTGTAGACATAAGATATGTAAAATTGTAATTGAACCAAACTGGGATCATTTGCTCATGCACAATGGAAAGCCAAGCATCGAGTTTTTGCAGAAGCATTGAGTTTATTGTCAAGCTGCTAAAACAAGAAGACCTGAGTCAGACTCAAATCTGTCTCCTTGAGCTGGGTAGTTGGAGCAGGTTTTATAGTGAGAGGGTAATGAGGTGTGATCTGACTGGATCCTGCCAGAGGTAATGTCAGGGTCAATCTTATTGGGTCCTGGGTCCTGCCATGTGGTGTCCACTTCTTAATTCAGTCCCCACTCCTTGGTCCAAGCACTTAGGTTCTGCCTGTGATTTCATGCCTGGTTCATCTGGGCATGCTCTGGTTATGTTGATGTCAATGCTACCAAGAGCTCTTCTTTTTGTACTTGATAATTTTTGCCCCTTTAGGGACTGACCAGCACCTAGGTATCTGACCCCTGAGCAGTATGTTGAAATAGCAAACTAGGCTTTGTGCTTTCACAATGCCGACAAGATTATATGTTATGGGACGTGCTAGAGGCCAGATGTTGCAAATGACCATTAAACTTTGCTAACTCTATGATCTTTGAGTTCCTTTCTTAGGAAACAGTTACTGTCTCTCAAGATAACCTCAAGGAGCTAAAAATTTCCAGACCTTTGACCACAGACTCTATGACACCAAGACACTCCATCCATCATAGGCATTTGACATCTGAATTAGTTCACCTACTGATGCCATGACCTGTACCCACACACAGCTTGTGCACAATCCCTGCTGCAGCACATAGGCACATTCTCTGCCCCTCTATAAAAGCCTCCATCCTCAGTTAGTTGGAGAGGTAGATTTGAGACTTATGTCACATCTCCAGGCTGACAACACCTGCAATAAAGCTCTTCTTCCCTGGCAATATTCATTGTCTCAGTGATTGGCTTTCTGTGCAGTGAGCAACTAGGCTCTGACTGATCTCCTTTGGTTCAATAACAATGTGACCTTCAACCTGGGGGTCCATGGCTACTGAAAAACTCACCACTTTGTTACATAAAAGTTAAACCAGATTGATCTGATGCAGTTTACAAAATCATAAACAGGGAATTTGGTTCTTATCTATGTCTGGTCAGCATGTAAGTTCCCTTCTATGAGGAATAAACTCCAATAGCATTGTGGTGGCTCACACAGTGTCAACTTAGCTCTGCTGGAACCACATCTCCCCACATTTCCTTGCCTGTGTGGTTCCAGGTTGTTCACAGGAGACATTTGCTTGTGATCTGGAAGGTGGAGATGCAGCAGCCATGATGTCATGCAGCTTGGCATGGGTCACCAGGCACTGTGGCCATGTGAGCCACTGGGGGTCAGTGGGCTCACCCTGTTGGCATCAGGCAATCAGCATTAACTTCCTCCCTTTAGGTTTGTTTGCAGATCTTATTACATTCACATCTACCCATTTGTTTTCAACTCAAACCAACATCTGTTGACATGATTCCTAACCTTAGAAGGTATCTTAAAGAAATTCTGCCCCATGTGGCAACATGAATGAATCTTGAGACAATTATGCTGAGTGAAATAGCCAGACACCACAGGACAAATACCATATGATTCCACTTATATGAAGAACCTAGAGTAGTCACACTCATAGAGGCAGAAAGTAGAATGAGGTTTGCTAAGGGCTGGCAGGAGGTGGAATAGGAAACTAGTGTTTAATGGGGACAAAGTGTCAGTTTGGGATAACAAAAGTTCAAGAGATGGATGGTGGTGATGGTTGCACAACAATGTGAATGCATTAATGCCATTGAACTTAATAGTTAAAAATGGCTAAAATGATAAATTATATGTTATGTGTACTTTACCATGTAATGGAGAAGAGATTTCTTTTCTTTACCTATCTATCCCTAGGTTCATGGTTGGGACCCCTGTAATAAAAGACAGATTAATGAAAGAAAAGCATGCACATTTATTTAATATAAATTTTACCTGACATGGGAACCTTCACAAGAAAATGAAAACCCAAAGAAACAGGGAAACCTGTGTATTTTTTATGGTTAGGTTTGATGAATAGTGGATAGTCTGGAGAAAAACGATAGGAGGATAAAATGGTCTGATCTAAAGGTAAAAAACAGGGGGAATTTAGCAAGGCCTGTTTGCTCCATTTCTTCACTGCGTCTTCACAGACAATGTTGCTTTCCTCTAGGGACAGGGAGGGCACTTCTTGAATGAGAATCTTATAACCTGCTTCAGAAAAGAAGGGCAACAGGAAGGTCAGAGACACACTCCTGCTTCTGCAGTTTTCTCAAATGCCAAGGTGCTGTGTTTTGGGGGAAGCATGTCCTGAACCCTATCAACTACAATAAAAAAAATTTTTTTTTCTAAAGAAGCTATCTGCCTAGTGAAAGAGGCAGACAGGTAAATGGGAAAAGGATAGGTTCTGCGTTTTGCTGGTGATACGGGGACCGGGGTACAGAAGTAGAAAGGATGCTGCAATCCCCTCTGCGTGAGAGGGGCAGGGAACTGGGGGCTTCACAGAGAAGGGGACAGCGACCTGGAACGTGGAGACTGAGTCGGTGAAAGTGTTTAGGGGAAGAGGAGAGCAGGCAGAGAACACAGCAGGGGCTCTGAGGGACAGTCCGGGGCCAGACTGCAAATGACCTGAATGCTCAAGTCTTAGCCAGTGTTGCTCTCAACAAATCAGGTCTCCTGAATGGAAGTGAGTTATGTTTTCACCACGTGATCTTGTAATTGTAATGAAACTTAACTCTCACTGTTAATCTT